GTGAAATGAAAATGGTCAGTTATATTTCAGTGTCATAAACAGGAGTGGGCAAAAGTAGATATACATAATACAACAAATAATACAATAATTAATAAATAATAATACAAGAATAAACTCTGCGTTTCGCATACTCACACCTGTAAACCTACTTTGCCCACCCTTGAATATTACTCAGCATCTTTCATCTGGAGGTTGGTGTAAAATAATAGTTAGCTAACTTCTATGCCTTTCTTTGTAATGGTAATTTTAAATGGAGAAGTTAGATTAGGGTTTTCTTTTAATTTTAATAATAATAGCAATTTGCCCTGACCGGTTTGGCTCAATGGATAGAGCATCGGCCTGCGGACTCAAGGGTCCCAGGTTCTATTCCAGTCAAGGGCATGTACCTTGGCTGCGGGCACATCCCCAGTAGGGAGTGTGCAGGAGGCAGCTGATCAATGTTTCTCTCTCATCAATGTTTCTAACTCTCTATCCCTCTCCCTTTATCTCTGTAAAAAGTCAATAATATATATAGTAAGTAGAGTAAAAGGATCTTTCACCTGCCTATAATCACAGGGATCTGTTCAGTCCTCAAACTTTTTAAACAGGGGGCCAGTTCACTGTCCCTCAGACCGTTGGAGGGCCGGACTATAGTTTAAAAAAACTATGAACAAATTCCTATGCACACTGCACGTATCTTATTTTGAAGTAAAAAAACAAAACGGGAACAAATACAGTATTTGTATTTGCATGTGGCCCACGGGCCGTAGTTTGAGGAACCCTGTTAACTATCTGAATGAATTGCCACAATTGCCCTAAGAAGTTATTTCCCCATTTTATGTGGATGAGAACACTGAAGCCCAGATGAAATATTTAAAAGTTGTTAAATAGAGGGACCATGTGTACCTGATCTTTCTTATTTTAAAACCCACATTTTTTTATTTTACACTACCTTTTTCTATTAAATGTATGAAATTCATTTGACATCATATGCCTTTTATTACCAGTTAGCAATTTCAAGTTCCATTCTGTCATCTGGATCAGAGATACTTCTTGAATATATCAGTGTACAGTAGCACTAAAGAAGATAAGATCCACAGAAAAGTAAATGGTATCCCCTTAAAAAACAAAACTCTTTCCTCTTCTCAAAATGATCTCTGTGAAACTGTTGTCATGATCCTAATATATAAAGAGCCAGGGTCTGTCATGACCTAAACGACCAGACAGACGACCAAATAGCAGGCTAGGGTCCTGGCCGGCGCGGCGAAAGTCAGTCCTGGATCCCGGCTGCCCACGGCACGGCATCCCTCGCCCTGCCCGCAGGCTCTGGGGAACCAGAGCCATGCTGCGATCAGACTGGCCTCTTGGTCCCTCCCCCCTGGCCCACAGGTCCAGGGAACTAGAGCCATGCTGCAATGGGGCTGGACCCTACCTGAGGTGTCCTGGATTGTGATAGCGTGCAGGCTGGGCTGAGAGACACCCCCCCCCCCAGGCCGGGCTGAGGAACCGCCCCCCCCGACCCAGTGTATACGAATTCGTGCACCAGGCCTCTAGTTTTATAAAGTGCTAGATCATTATAAACTGACAAATAACCAAATAGAGAAATTTTCCCTGGTCTCACAGTTCCCCAGATTTAGGAATGGCCTTTATCTATGTTATGAACTTAACTAGGGGAAGGGAAATGGGAGGGAGAGAAGTGAATGTCACAGGTGGGTTAGAGCAGATTTTACTTCCTCCAAATAAGATAGCTGTATTGGTAGATCAAAAGGACTCTATAAACCTTTAAAGTTGTTAATTACTTTATATCATGGCAGAGAAAAAATGGTTTGTATTACCTTAGTAAAGTTCAACAAAGTATGTCCCCTTTAAAATTACATATTGTATTGATAGAGAAAAGCTTTATTATCTGGCAGAAAAAGCTAGAACCTGTTTGAGAATATCTAAGACATGAATAGGAAAGGTGAGAGACTCAGTTCTTCCTTTAAGTGCTACTTGATACATTGAAGGTAGATCAGATTCTATATTATGGATATAGTTCTCATATCTAGCAGTCAAGTGATACGTTATTTTGTTGTCTGGATTGTCATTATAGTAATTCTAAATATTAGGGAATGTGGTTTTATTTTTCATAGAGAGTTTTTCATATGATGTTAAATGCAGTTTATATCTTCAAAATTAATTTGGAGTTTTATTCTGGGTATATAGGTTTCTAGGTAGGGAATAAGGCATTGAGTCATTTAAACTCCCTTTAATAACTATAGATAGCTTTTTCTGTCAGATCTTTCTTTTTCTTCATACTTTCTTTTTTTCCTCCCAACTTTAAGCACAGCTACATAATAGGGACTGGTTTATTTTTTCTCCTCATGGAATCATGGGTAGTTTCATTGCAGTTCATCTCTTTCTGTTTGTTTCGTATAGGGCTGATAGTTCAGGATCATTCAGACCCCATGTTCAGTTCATATGCCTATAAGTCCCACTACCTACTGAATGAATCAAATCGTGCAGAGTTGATGAAATTACCTATGATTCCTTCTTCGTCAGCTTCCAAAAAGAAATATGAGAAAGGTAATAATCAAAATAGTTTATCTCTTGCTTTCTTTTTGCATTTCCTATTTTTTTTTAAATGAAGGGGGGAAATGTATGCCTGTCAAGCACCATCTGTTGCTTTTCTACCATGGTGGTTGTAACTGTCTTCATATGGCTGCAAATTTATTAAAAAGGGCTTAAAATAATTCCATTTATTGCAAATTTTTACTTACTCTTCTCCTTGAATAAATTTTCACACATTTTATATATCTATGGGCTATTAAAATTGAAAGACTTGGATTTTGCTTAGTGTAGAGGAATAGTCTAAGGGCTCTTTCTCTTTTGCCTGATGTAGAACTAACATTCCTGTTAGGATAGAATAGACACAATATAATTTGTTACTGACTTTTAACTAAATAGTAAGATAGGTTGTTAAATAGAGGGAAATAAAGATACTGATACTTAAAGATTTTATTTTAGAATACATTCTATCATTTTGTTTCTTAAATGTTTTATTCAGTTACTATGAAAACTAGTTGTCCTTCTCTCAGGATAATTGGTGGGCAGCTGGGGAGGGTACCCCAAATATTGGATATTGAAAGGCAGTCCAGGTGAGCTGAAGAATTGCTTATAGGTAACCTATTATCCACAGAGAATCAGGAGCTACATGTATATTTATATTCTCCCAGTTAATTTAGTCTGTGGAAGAAAATCTTCTGTGTTTAGCTTTACATAGCATACTTGAAATAAAGGTGAAAAGTGATTTAACAATAATGTATTATTTGGGAAGTTACTGTTTCAGCAAGTAAATTAAATAACCTGGAAGGTGAATGCCTTTTCCTGTATGCATTCCCATTATGATCTGGGGGCCAAGTGCAGATTCTTTAAAGAAAAATTAATTCATACCTAATACAGTGTGTACATTGGAAATGGGCCTCTTTTTTCCCTTTGTGTTGCCTTCCTGATGTATCTTTGTTCTTTGTCAGAATTCTTAAGAGGCAACCCATGACTAAAAGGAAGTATAACTAAGCAAGCTGATTAGAACCTGGAGAACTATGTTGGAGAGGTACTAGGTTTTTTTCTTTGTTTTCCATTGAAGTCACAGTTTTCATGGAAGTCACCTTACTGGTGACACCACCTACTTCCAAAACAAAGATGGGCATAGGCATGACTAACTCCATAATGCAATAAAATTAGACTGCCTGAGACGTTTTAGGAAATGCCTTATATTCCACTTATTTTGTTTTCAGTACTTGGTATTGACCTTGACATAAATTGAAATTATTTTGAGCCCTCTGTTTGCTTAGCTTGAACCACATCTTTTCATGCATCCTAAAGCAGTTTTCTTGCATAACACCAAGGTGGATTGTTCATATTTTTATTTTTCTATTTCCCTATTTTTCTGTTGTTTTTGTTTTTTGTCAAAAAATCATCATGACTTTCACTGATAACTCTCGGTCTGTATTTCCTCTGAAATAAGACTTAAAATTCAGGACTATTCTATAATATTAAAAATGGCCAACCTGACTTTTCCCCATCAGCTCTAAGAATGACATGCCCTCTAAAAGCTATTTGCAAAGGCTGCTCTCTCTATTGGATATTTCTTTCTGTTGTAAAAATGGGCTTTCTCATTTTAGTTTAAACTTACAGAAGAATTCCTAGGCTAAGAGCACTCAGACAGCTAATCTCTAGGTTGGGGAATTGGAACTATTAATCCATATTAAGATTTGCAGACAGAGGAACAAATCCCAATGATTGAAGAAAAAGCTTTTAAGCAGAGGAAATATAGTAATTTAATTCATCACTGATTGTATATGGATTTTTTCTTTTTGTTTTTATGACAATCAGAAGTTTGAACGTCTGCAGTAAGATAAGATTTTCTGGAAAATTGATAGCTAACCTTCAAAAGGTTGGAGCGTGTGATTTGATAAAGTTGTAAAGAAGGCTCCTAACCTTTAGCTAATGAGACTTTAAATCTTAGTGTACTTGTGGGTTATAGACCTGATTTTCCAATGGGAGGATAATTTTTTTTGCAGTAAATGTCTTTATCATATTTCATCTTCATTAGTTAACATCCTTTTCCATCACTTGTTGAAATACCTATTAGAAATACCTAATCTTCTCCTCCCCCATCTTTTTCATTTCTTTGCATTTAGTAATATTTTGTTTTGTTAGCCACACTTGTTTTGGTCTTAATCCAGAGATCATTTTATGTATTCAAAAGGAGAGGATTTTTCTAGACAAGTTGGAGGGATCTCCTACTACTTCATTTCACACTGATATTTACTTAATTTTATACTATAAAGCAGTGGTTCTCAATATGAAGTCAGAAAAGACTTATGTAAATAACATTTTTGAACTATTCTTAATATTTCAGAAAATCTAATAGAAGCACACAAACTATGGCTGCATGAGTTTCTTTATATTTGGCTATGATTTAAATAATACAGTGTGATAATGCTAGTTTTGTTATTGGATTCAGAAGCTCTGATTGGCAGTTTTATATCTCTTTGGTTAATAACATCAGAAAAATGTTATTTTTTAGTGTAGGGGTTTGTTTTTGGGTTTTATTTTTGGTTGATAAAATATTGGAAGCATATAGGTTCATGAGGGAAGGGAAGGGGGTCCTTGGTAATGAAAAAATTGCAAACCACTGCTCTATAGCTTGTTTGACTTTATCTTCACTAAAAAGGTAATGATGATACATGTAATCATCACCTTGAGCAAGTGCAATCCTTTTGCTTTTTTGTATCCTTTTACGAGAAGTAAGAAATACTGATCAACCTATTGCCTATTTTCATTCTTGCTAATTTAATTATAAAGTGATTTAGTCGACTATGGCACTGGATTAAAATACAAAGATGACCATTGCTTTCTTTCTTAGCTCTCAAGGAGAAAAGAAAGTAAGCTGCTACATATTTCTTTGAAAATCTGCTCTCAAATTTACTCAGTCTAAAGATTTTTAATACACCTATTTTGTCATATGTTAGGAATTTTAACTTCCTACTAAATGGATAGCTCAATAGCCCACGTTTTACAGGGGTAAGGTGTACAATAATGTTTCTCTTCCTATTCAAAAGCTGAGTTTCTGGCCATTGAGGTTCTGAAAAGGGAAGAAGCAAAATCTGTTCATTTGCTTTCTATTTTAATCCATCACCATAGATTTGACTCCATCCTTTGTTATTTTCCTCCAATTTGAATTAAAGTTAATGCACTTAAATGATAATTTTCTCCTTTTTCTTTCTTTTTGTCTTTCCTCTTTTCTCAGTTATTAAGACTGTTTATTTGTTTCAAGGTGGAAGATTGCTCTGCTGTGAATCGTGCCCAGCTTCCTTCCATCCAGAATGCCTGAGCATAGAAATGCCAGAAGGCTGCTGGAATTGTAATGACTGTAAAGCTGGCAAGAAACTGCATTACAAGCAGATTGTTTGGGTCAAATTGGGAAATTACAGGCAAGTTTTTCCAAGGACAAAGAGGAAGTATTCAATCATTGTTTAGACCTAGGTTCATAAACTGTGTTACAAACTGGCTAGCAGACAGGTAGAACAGCAGAGCTACTTCCTTAAAAAAGAGAGAGAGAGAGAAGAAACATATATTTATTTTATTTTTAAAATATGTTTATTGATTTCAGAGAGGAAGGGAGAGGGAGAGAGAGAGAGAGATAGAAAGAAAGAAACATCAATGATGAGAGAGAATCATTGATTAGCTGCCTCCTGCACGCTCCCTACAGGGGATTGGAGCCCACAAGCCGGGCATGTGCCTTGACTGGGAATCAAACCGGGACCTTCTGGTTCATAGGTTAACGATTATCCACTGAGTCACACCAGCTGGGCAAGAAACATATTTTGAGTCTGGGTTTTTACAAGATTGAGAAGGTTAGTTGTGGAATTTTTTTTGATTGGTTGGTTGGCTTTTGTTTTTAAATTCCAGAAGTTGTTTAATATTAATGAAGTATGTACTACTAGATTTTGGAATAAAAAGTCTTATGTGATTAATGGAGAAGATGTTTTCTTTGTGCCCTAATTAACTTTATATTGATCTGTGATTTCTAATAAAATCAAGTTTTTCTCTGGCCAAAATAGCCCATACTTTAACCTGTGTGCAAAAGAGAGCATTTTAGGGTTTAAAGAGAGAGATTGTTTCATTAAGAGCCTTTAGCTCTTAAGAGAATGAGTAAGAAGTATGTGTGATTACTATTATTTTAATAAAACTTTCTCCTTTTAAGAAGCCTGTTTTTTTACAAGCCTTCACGGCACAAGAATAGTGACATATTTTTTAAAACTCTGCAATGAAAATAGATACTGTTCAAGAGAATTCTACTTTTCAATTAGAATCCTAAGTAAGATATATTTCTATAGAATCTCAGACATACTGTAATTCCTTTTAGCAAGGGCTATGTTGTTTTCTCTGTTTTAAATATGCTGCTTGCTTACCTGTTTAACTTTAAAATTTTTGTTATTTAGGTGAGATAAGTGGCATTGAGAAGCTCTCCCAACTATTTTTTAAACATATGACAAGAAATCTCCAAGTCCTAAAAAGATGGACAATTTGAATACATAAACAATTTTATACTGTATGGCAAATGATATTATAAAGTTTTTAAAAGCAAATATCAAACCAGGATAAAGTGTTTGCTATTCTACTTTCAATGAGAAAAGACAAATACCTTATCTAGGAAAAAAAAGGACAAAGAAGAGAAAGAGCCAGTTTGCAAAAGAATAGCAAATGGAAAATAAATGTGAAAAATGCCCAGCCTCACTAAAAAATAAATGTTCTCTAAAAACAAAGAGGCCTCCCCCCCTAACAGATTGGCAGAGATATAAAAGAGTAATAATTTTGCGGCCAGGGAGGGCATAGGGAAATGAGTATTAAAATTGTAACTCTGTATACTTCTTGACCCAGCACTTCCCTTTCAAGAAATTTATCTAAGGAAAAAATATTGGACAAACAGGCAGAAATGTATTTGTTGGGGTACTCATTGTGGTATTATTTGAAATAACCCAAATGCTCAGTCCATAAGGGATTTGTCAAATAAATTATACTATATCCATATTGTAGAGTATCTTGAAGCCAATAAAAGAATAATGCAGGTCTGTATAGTAACATAGGAAGATATCTTCTATATAGTTGAATTTAGAAAACATGTTAAACAGTATGTACATTATCTTTCCATGTTTTTATACAATTTTTAAAAATTGTAGCTCTTGATATAATATGGAAAGAAACACATGTAATGTTAATAGTGTTAGGCATGAGACTACAAGGAGAGGCATTTTCAGTTTTTCTGTTATACATTTGTGCATTGTTTTATTTTTAAAAGAAACTGCTTTTATAATTAATATACACATATATATTTGGGGGTGGGAGGGCATGGGTTTGACAATTACTAGATAAGACATTCCTGGATAACAAATATCTAAAACAATATAAGAAACCTTTAGCTCTTCAAGTAAATTTCAGAATATTTTCTTTATATTTAATTTGGGGGGGGCTTTTTTGAGATATTGCTGACATAGTAGTTTCAGTTGTACAACATATTGTTTCAGTATTTGTATATAGCAGCAATGGCAAACCTTTTGAGCTCGGCGTGTCAGCATTTTGAAAAACCCTAACTTAACTCTGGTGCCGTGTCACATATAGAAATTTTTTGATATTTCCAACCATAGTAAAACAAAGACTTATATTTTTGATATTTATTTTGTATATTTAAATGCCATTTTTGTTTTTTTGTTTTTTTTGTTTTTTTAATATATTTTATTGATTGGTTTGCCATCACTGGTATATAGTATTGTGAAATGATCACCACAATAAGTCTAGTTGACATTCTTCTCCATACATAGTTACAGTTTTCTGTTCTCCTGATGAGAATTTTTAAATCTACTCTCAGCAACTTTCAAATATATAATACAGTATTATTAACTATAGTCACCATGTTGTACATTATATATTTTCTTTATTAAGAAGTTATGAGTGTAAAAAGGTCTTTGCCTTAACTTAAATACTTAAGTTTTAATTACATTGCATTTAAAGAACCCAAAGCAGTTCTCCACAGCCCAGTGAGGTTTATATGCAGATCAGATTCTTCTTGTATGTTCTGCAGAGACTTCCATCCATGACTAAGTCTTAATGTGTTTTTTCCAGGCAGGCCCAGCTGGGCCACATGAAGCTGTTTCTTTTCAGTAACTAGTTGCTCCAGTGTGCAGCTTCCTGGGGGAAATATGAGGACCTGGAACAACCCCTGGCACAGAGTGCCTCTTCCTGACCCCATGAGTGCAGTCCGCATGTACATACTTAACTGCCTTTACATGGTTCAGAAATAGCCATTTCCTAGTCCACTTTGAGGGAAACCAAACACTGATTACACAAAACAGTGGTTTGTTCTGTTTGAACAATTTGAGCACAGGCTCTTGCCATGTTTTTCATTAATTCTTAGATGGACAGGTACCTTTTAGATGAAGCATATTCAAGTTCTGCACTATGACCCTGAGAGTGTGGCCATGCTGTCATTTAGCTTCTAAATAATACAAGTATTAGATAAATGATTTTATTAGGCACCTATAAAATAAGTGGCTGACAAATTTTAAGTTTGTGTATGTTTACTATTCATATTGATGCTTTTACATACTATAAAAGCTCCACCTTTCAATTGCTTACTCGCCCAGTTGCTGGAAATTGTCACATGCGCCTCACAGATGGTTTCATTTAGGGATTGCTGTGGTTTCAGTCATCATGGCATGAAACAGTTCTGTTTCATTCTGTCCAAAAGTCCACGTTTATTGTGATCCAAGATGAATTAGATTCTGAAATACACACTGACATAAGCCTAGTACATTTGACCAAAAAGTATTTACCCTGAGTGATGAGTCAGAAAATGCTCATTTGAATGGGGAATGGTCATTCTTTGCTATAGCATCAGTTTATTCTCAAATGAGCCCCTTGACTACTAGAAATAAACTTTTACACCTTGGAGGATGATGTTGGTTTAAGAATGCCAAGTTTGGAGAAAAACAACTTTTCTAGGATAGAAATTTGGTTCAGAATAATATTGGTAATTTCTAATTCTTAAGGTGGGTAGTGGGTTAAGTATTATTTTATTATGCTTTATAGCTTATATTTCCATGATATATATTCTTTTATAAATATGAGATATTAATTTTTTTAAGAAAGTAGCTGGATTGGATGTTTAGGGCCTAGTTTGTTTAGTCTATGTTCACTATTTCATTAATAAATTCATTAATTAATATGATTTTAAATGCTGTGTGGTTTGAGCAAGATTAAAGATGATCAAGGTATTTTGTGTCCTTAGAGTCTAAATGAAAATGTCACGGTAAAAAACCTCTTATTCCCTCCTGCCAGCCCTGTAAAGAATAGTCTGTTTTTCATACCCATGGTCTAAAATTGTTTTTGTTTTCAGATGGTGGCCAGCAGAGATCTGCAATCCCAGGTCTGTGCCACTGAACATCCAGGGCCTTAAGCATAACTTGGGGGACTTCCCTGTGTTCTTCTTTGGTTCTCATGACTACTATTGGGTGCACCAGGGCAGAGTGTTCCCTTATGTTGAAGGAGACAAAAGCTTTGCTGAGGGACAGACTAGTATTAACAAGACCTTCAAAAAAGGTAAGTTGGAATGATGTTTACAATGGCTCAAAACTAAGAATTCACTGTTGATTTCTCAACATCTTCCACCTCGCATCTGACATATTTCTGGTAGTAGAGAATTTTCACCAGGTTAACCCCATTAGAACCATGTCAGAATCTAATCAATTAGAAAAATAACATTTTCAGTTTGGTAGGCTCTGCTGAGTAAGTGAACGGAGTTTCTTCAGTGATCTTTCTAGACATAGATTTTTCTGGGAATAGTTTTCTTAATCATATGAAGCTCCTTACTACAGAAGAGTAGCAGAGCTTCTCATGGAGAGCCTTACAACTGGTTTTGCAACAAGGTACCCGGAAGTTTGGCTTTCTGGGCGAGAGCAAAGTGAATTTAAAGCTACTTCCAGGTGAGAGGCTCCCCTTGGGTTTACGTGGAAGCCTCTGATCACGGAAGCAGAACCTCATCTCTGAGGCTGCAGCTTGCACAGAGCAGTGTTCAGCCAACAGTGAGTCATATCCTATTTCAGTGCTACCCTATCCTGCTGGTAAGTGGTTATTTCCAGAAACAATTTTAAAAAGAAAAAAGCAGCCCTATTCAGTGCATTGTGAAAGCAGAGTAAAACTGCTCTCCTAACAGGTATTGTTTGTTTGTTTGCTTGCTTGTTTGTTTGTTGGCATTTATATGCTTTGTTTGGTCTTATTGGCAGCTCTGGAAGAAGCTGCAAAACGTTTCCAGGAGTTGAAAGCACAAAGAGAAAGTAAAGAAGCACTAGAGATTGAAAAAAACTCAAGAAAACCTCCTCCTTACAAACACATCAAAGTGAGTCTCTACCCTGAGAGATGGGTATTCGACGGGCACGATGAAATGCAATATTCTCTTAGTGAGAAAGCCCGTTTCGGCTTGTGAAAACTTTTGCTAATTTTCACCCAATCTTCTGTAAAACAAGCAGCTTTTGTTGGCAGTGTCAGTCAGATGGGAGCGAGGGAGCTGGGAGCGGGAGCTGTGTGCTGTGGGGATGAGGTCTGAGATAAGCGCTCTGGCACCTGGGAGCGACATGTTTGATGGGAAATCCTGTTCCTACTTGCTCTACCAGGTTATCCTGCCACCAGAGGAGAATAGAGAGATTTGCCCTGTTCGTCCAGACAGTCCAGAGTTGTTTCCAGTTATGAAATTTCCATCAAATAGTAGAAGGAGAAATACACAGAACAGATAAATGAGAATTCACATCAAGTTCTTGGTATTTTTGCCAACTAAGAAGAGGCAGTTTTTATTCTTAGTTTATTTGTGGGGAAATTGCTATTACAATAACGAGCCTTTCATAGTCATGCTGCAAGGCAGTAGCAGAGCCAAGAACAGCATGGAAGTTTCAGGTGTTCTGTTTAAATTCCTCCCCCTCATCTGTGATTTTGTTTTCTAGGCTAACAAAGTCATAGGAAAGGTACAGATCCAGGTTGCAGACCTGTCAGAGATTCCCCGCTGTAACTGCAAGCCAGCCGATGAGAACCCTTGCGGCTTAGAATCCGAGTGCCTGAACAGAATGCTGCAGTACGAGTGTCACCCGCAGGTGTGCCCAGCCGGAGATCGTTGCCAGAACCAGTGCTTCACAAAGAGGCTCTACCCTGATGCAGAAATCATCAAAACGGAGCGAAGAGGCTGGGGCCTCAGGACCAAAAGGAGCATTAAGAAGGTAACTTGGGGTAGGGGCACTGGTGGTCAGAGCCAGATCAGGGCCTGTGCCTCTCAAAGAAGCGTCAATGGGGATGAAATGTATGGTGGTTCCTGGTAGAATCTTGAAATTTCCGAAGTTGAGAGTTTGGCACTTCTTAGGCAAAGAAGCTATAGGAAGTGGTAGTGATAAAACATACAAAACTTTGGTTGTCTAATGATCAGTCATAAAAAGCAGAAGAGACATGGGTCATTTTCTGTGTAAAGTAATTTTTTACTTGTTAAGCAAAATAGACCTGGATGTAAAAGACCTAGTAAAGGCAAAACCCAGGACTTTGCTCCAGTGTCATAATGCATTAGCTGCGAAACCGTGGCCACGTCAGTCAACCTCCCTGAGCCTCAGTTTCCTCATCTCTAAAATAGACATAGTAATCCCTGCCCTACACATGTCAGCGTTGCTGCTAGCCTCAAATTAGATTATATACCCAAAAGCAACCGGAACAAGTTTAGTACTTTGAGGCAATTTTTCAAAACAGTCCCTTTGATTAACACAGAAATGCACTGTCTATTGCAGAACATTTTCTACATACAAATAACTCAAAGGAAAAAAATGAATATCACCAGTATATCCTACTGCTCAAAGGCTCTCAAACTTTAGAGATTCTGAGAATCTCCTGAGGTTATTATTATTATTACTGTTTATCCTCACCTGAGGATAGTTTTCCATTCATTTTTAAGGAGAGTGAAAGGGAGAGGGAAAGACAGAGAGAAACCTAGATGTGAGAGAAACAAATCGATTGGCTGCCTCCTGCACGAGCCCTGTACAGGACCCTGCAACCAAGGTACATGCCCTTGACTGTACCCGGGACTTTGGTCTGCACACTGATGCTCTATCCACTGAGCCAAACCAGCTAGGGCCTGGGGTCCTTAAAAACAGTATTACACAGAAATATCTGGGACAGTATCTTCTGCATTTTATAACAAGTTCCTGCCCTGCCCCCCTTCTACCCTCTACCCCTGCTTGCCAAATGCAAGTATATAGAACTTGGAAATATATTCATTGAGAGAGGTGGACCTAGTGAGAATTTGTAATTACTTTTTTTAATATATATTTTTATTTATTTCAGAGAAGAAGAGAGAGGGAGAGAGATAGAAACAAAAATGATGAGAGATCGCCGAAACCGGTTTGGCTCAGTGGATAGAGCGTCGGCCTGCGGACTGAAGGGTCCCGGGTTCGATTCCGGTCAAGGGCATGTACCTTGGTTGCGGGCATATCCCCAGTGGGAGATGTGCAGGAGGCAGCTGATCGATGTTTCTCTCTCATCGATGTTTCTAACTCTCTATCTCTCTCCCTTCCTCTCTGTAAAATATCAATAAAATATATTTAAAAAAAAAATGATGAGAGATAAATACTGATCAGCTTCTTCTTGCACGCCCCCTTGCACGCCCCCTACTGGGGATCAAACCTGAAACCCAGGCATGTGCCCTGACCGGAAATCGAACTGTGACCTCCTGGTTTATAGGTTGGCACTCAACCACTGAGTCATATTTCTACCTTTTTAAAAAATCACCTTTGTGATTAAAAAATACCACATAATGTAGTAAAGTAAATCAGTACAAGAAAGATATTCCTCCTTCATCCTTCAATTCTTGGTCTCACAAAAGATGACCATTAATAGGTTGGTATGTAGCCTTTTAGAACTTTTTCTGTGCAGTTGTAGGTATTAACACATATGCAAATATATATTCATATATTCTGTATTTGTAGGGTTTTTAAAACAAATATGATCATACATATTTCCCACTTAATATATCATACATAAATTTTTTTTAAAATATATTTTATTGATTTTTTACAGAGAGGAAGGTAGAGGGACAGAGAGTTAGAAACATCGATGAGAGAGAAACATCGATCAGCTGCCTCCAGCACATCTCCCACTGGGGATGTGCCCGCAACCCAGGTACATGCCCTTGACCGGAATCGAACCTGGGGCCCTTCAGTCCGCAGGCCAACGCTCTATCCACTGAGCCAAACCGGTTTCGGCCATACATATATTTTTATATCAGTACATAGAGATTTCAACTTACTGTTTTTTTGTTTTTTCAACTCATTCTTTTTGTTAAACAATCTCACTGTATTCCATAGTAAAATGTATCAAATTATGTACCATAATTTATATAACCTATTTTCCAATAAATATACACACACACACACACACTCTCTTACAGATTTTTTAAAATTCTTGGTCATCTCTCTTTATGCACCTGTTTCTATAGGTTAGATTGCTTGTGATGAGACTCATTCATTTGGTACATATTTGTGAAGCTTCTGTGTGCCAGGTCCTGTTCCAGCAGTACCTGGAAAAACAGTAGTGAACAAGACAAATGATGAGCAGATATCTAATGCTGAGTACCACTAAATGCTGCAAAGAAAACTAAGCTGTCGGAGGGGATAGCTAGTGACTGGGGTTGCTACTTTAAATTGATTGGCTAAGGAAGGCCTGGAGGGGACATTTCACCTGAATATGTGAGGGAGAAAGTCAGGGAGATACATATGGAAAAGAGTATTTCAGACTAAAGTAAACCAAGTACAAATACCTTAGTATATTCCAGCAACAACAAGAAAGCACCAGGAGAAGAATGGCAAGGAGAAGAGTGGCAGGTAGGGGATAGGAAAGAGGCTAGATCATATGGGCGTTACAGGCCACAGGATGGGAAATTTCTGGAGCATTTTAGTAGGGACTGATTTGATCTGAGACTTGACGTATTTTCTATTGCTGCATAACAATGTTACCACAAACTTGGCAACTTAAAATATAACACACATTTGGTTATCTTAGTTCCTGTGGGTGAGGGGTCCGGGTAATGCTTAGCTGGGTCCTCTCGGTGCAGTCAGGGTGCTGCCCAGGGCTGGATTCTCACTCATGTGCCTTGGCTAAGGAAGGATCCACTTCCCTGCCTGTATGGCTGTTGGCAGAATTATGTTCCTTGCCAGCTGTAAGCCTGGGAGCTTCAGGTGTTTTTGTTTGTTTGTTTCATTTGTTGTTACTGTTTTGTTGTTCTCTGGAGGCTGCCTGCAATTCCTTGCCAAATGAGGTTCCCCAACATGGCTCTTTGCTTCATTACAGCCAGCAAGATGTATGCTAAAGTCATAATGTAACAGATCCATGTAATCACATATATCCACCACCTTTGTCATGCTCTATGGCAAGTCACAGGTCCTGCTCACTTGAGGGGAGAGGATCACAGAGCCATGTGAACACCAGGAAGCAGAGGTCATGGGGCCCACCTTCAGAGTCTGTCTGCCACATTTGAGTTTCAAAAGAATAATTTGGCTGTAGTATGGAGAATTTATGGTAATGGGGAAAGTGATAAAAAGGAGATCATTATAATCCAGGAGAGAGATGATGGTGGCATAGACTACTAGGGTTGTAGTTGTGCAGGAGAGAAGAGGATGGATTTCTGACATTTTGCAGTTAGAGCCAATAGGACTTAGTAGTGCATTGGATATGTGTATTGGGCTGCTCAAAGGCCATCAGCATGTAAAATGTTATGTGATTCAAATTTTTTAATATTTTAATGCCATGCATATCACACATACAAATTTTTTTGCCTATGATTTCAGGGGAATGTTTGGAGTCATCCTGAAAACTGTACAGCTTAATGTCTTTTTAACACCTTTTAATAGTAGTTGTATTTATTCTAAAATGTGTTTTAATTTACTTAATTCATGAAATACAGTTGACCCTTGAATACACACAAGTTAGGGACACTGACCACACACATAGTTGAACTTTTTTGACTTCCCCAAACGAGTTGTGGCACAAGGGATTGGGTCCAGGCCCCCTCCAGACACCAGAATCTGAGGATATTCGAGTCCCCTATGTAAAAGGTATACATCAGTGCATACAGTCAGCCTCTGTCTGTGGGCTCCCAGCCACGGATGGAAAATAGTACAGGTATTTATTGAAAAAATACATGTGTGAATAGACCTGCACAGTTCAAAACTATCTTGTTCAAGGGTCAACTGTAATCAAGAGAAAAGAAAATATAATCAGGATTGTTCTGCCCTTTAGCACTTGAGGAATTGCTAGTGTAAGATAATCGATCTTTTACAAAACAGCTAGAAATATATGGTCTCTGAAAAGCAGAATCATCAAGACTTTGTAGCAACATGGGAAAGATTTTTGGTACATTTAGGGGACAGATGCCAAATATGAAACTGAAAACACACAGAGTCCCCTCTTCACACCTAAATCCTGACCGTGTGCCAGCTTCAAGCATGCCCTTTCTGCTGTGAGGTGGCTTCTTAGAAACTGGAAAACATGTATAAACACTGAATTACACCCTCTCTTTATCGTCTTTACGAACAGATTTCTAGCACTTCCTAAGGTCTGTATTTTCTTTTAGTTCACAGTTTAATTTACAGCTCATGGTTCAGTAAACAACTCTTTGAGGTTAACGGTTTGTCACTTTGGACATCCAAAGTATTTCTTTTACAAAATAGCTAGAGATATTTATTCACAGTGGTATATCAAGTTTTGGCACATGCACTCATATTTGATATCAGCACTTTAATTTTCTATATTCATTCATTTTCATAGAATAATAAATATAAACCATAATAAATGGTTTATAATGTTATAGTACAGTTTCAAGGCTCGAGGTTGCCTTATCCCAGATCCCAGTGATAGACTATAACTGTGTCACCTGGACTATTGAAATAATATTGTCAGCAAAAAGAGACAAGCAGATCATTATATTTTGCAGCACTGGTACAAGAAAAATAGTGCCACCTGAATGCTCATGAATAATAGCAACTATTGGTTTTGATGGTTGAAGTTATATTTCTATGGTTCTTTTTGGTTAATTCTTTTGGATCATACATGCTGTGTTAAGGAATGCTTTCTAATATAATACATTGGTTTCATATTTACATATTGCATGCTTCTCTGTAGGGTGAATTTGTAAATGAATATGTTGGCGAATTAATTGACGAAGAAGAATGCAGATTGCGAATCAAGCGAGCCCACGAGAACAGCGTAACCAATTTTTATATGTTAACTGTCACCAAGGTAAAATTACTTTGTTTGTTTGTTTTTGTTTTCATGATCTTAGGTTGAACTGTTTCCTCTAATTTGATTTTTTCAGGCAAAGTATAATGATTAGCAGTAGCCAGAGTGTTTCCCACTATAATGTGCTAATTATACCAGAGCACAAAATGAACGCTTGCTGCGCCTTGCACAGGTCATGTGAGAGTGAAGCAGGAAAGGTTGACACACCTGGATTCTGGTCCCAGCTCCTCTTAGGCACTGAAAGACTTGCCCTCAGTTGCTTTATCACTGAAGGAGGGAAGGAACTCTAATTCTAAGTTATAAGCCACCATTAAAATTCAGATTTAGCCAAAATTTTAACTCTGAAAATTGTTCTGCACATTTAAACTTTTAATGAGTTAGGAGAAATGGATGCTGGCATAAGAGAAATGACAGAACTGCTGGTTTAATACATGCAGTTGTAAGTCCTATTTGATGCACCCTGTGTCCATTATCTCATTCAATTTTTTCACTGGTCTTCTGATTTACAGAGAACAAGAAACTGAGGTTTAGCCATGGTAAATGGTTGAATACCTTGTTACAGTTTAATGAAGAGCTAAGATTAGTACCCATGTTTCCTGTGTTCCAGGCCATTCCTAAAATCGAGTCAGAATGTCATTAAAGTTAACAACTGGAGATCATGTAAAAGAAATATTATTTTATCTCATATGGTATTGTTTGAAACTTTTTATAGCTTTCATGAATATATATTCCATAAACATACAATGCCATTTATTTATGACTAGAGGCCCAATGCACAAAATTCGTGCATGGGGTGGCGGTGTCCCTCAGCCCAGCCTGTGCCCTCTCTCAATCCAGGACCCCTCGCTCCTAACTGCCCGCCCGCCTGCTCGCTCCTTACCGCCCACCTGCTCGCTCCTTACCGCTTGGTCCACCGCGCTGCCACAAGGCAGGCAAAGCTCCCGCCACCGCCGCTGCACTCGCCAGCCATGAGCCCAGCTTCTAGCTGAGCGGTGCTCCTGCTGTGGGAGCGCACTGATAACCAGGGGGCAGCTCCTGTGTTGAGCATCTGCTCCCTGGTGGTCAATGCACGTCATAGCGACCGGTCATTCTGGTCGTTTCGCCATAATAGTTGCTGGGCTTTTATATATATAGATAGATTGTTGATTGGCCCCTAAATCCTATCTTCACTGCCAGTGACCCCTCCAGCCATCTTTACAACACTCGGAGGATCCATCTTATAGGGCTTATCCAGATTATCAGAATTTTTTTAAATATATTTTTATTGATTTTTTACAGTGAGGAAGGGAGAGAGATAGAGAGTTAGAAACATCGATGAGAGAGAAACATCGATAAGCTGCCTCCTGCACATCTCCCACTGGGGATGTGCCCGCAACCCAGGTACATGCCCTTGACCAGAATCGAACTTGGGACCTCTCAGTCCGCAGGCCGACACTCTATCCACCGAGCCAAACCGGTTTCGGCAGAATTTAAATTTAAGGGCCCATTGGGGAGGTTTGTATGTATTTTAGACTTTACTACTAGTAAAATTAGAACAAATAAAAAATAAATTTGCTTTGCATAGTGGCAGTATCATAGCCAGTGAGGCTTATCCAAGGCGTGATTATTACTAATCAAAAAAGAAAGAAAATCACTCAAGCATGTCTGCAAGTCTTTATTCAGAAGAGAAATTTCTCATTTTTCCTCCTTGCTCTTCATGGCCTAAGCCCTGAGCCTCTAGCCCTGTTCTGGTTGTGCTTCTGCTCAGAGCAGGCAAGGGCCGGCAGCTCAGCACCCTTTTCCCATCACAAGGAGCTGTCCGCACTCAGAGCTCTCAGAAATACTTGTCCTAAACAAGACCAGATCATCTTCTAAGCATTATTCCACGGTCTGTTTGTTTCCACTTCATCGTGATTGTTTTGATTTGAAAGTCATGAGAGAAAGTAGAGAACTTACTGAACGTACAGAGAGCACCACATTTCCAGATTTCCAGTTGTCAGGCATCAGCTGGTAGCAAAACGCTGCTGCCTATTGGCTCTTGACTGCATTGGATGTTTCTAAGATGTTTCTATTTTAGTTGATGTCAAAGGTACCTTTCCTTTCTTTTCTTTCTGAAGGACCGTATAATTGATGCCGGCCCAAAAGGAAATTACTCTCGCTTTATGAACCACAGTTGTAATCCAAACTGTGAAACACAAAAGTGGACAGTGAATGGAGATGTTCGAGTTGGACTTTTTGCTCTTTGTGATATTCCTGCAGGTAAAAAAAGTAACTTGCTCCCCATGCCACCCTCCCTAGGAAGCAAGTATATCTTTTGAAAGCAGGACATTCTTCAAGGTTTGGTCCTCAAATATTTATTCAAATAAGATAAAGTGTTATATTTAGAATTGTTATCTGCCAGTAAGAAGTAAAAATCTGTATTCTGCAAAGGGGAGTTTAGTAAGAGCTTTTCTGTAAGAGAGGATATTACAGGATTCTCTGTATCCACAATCTTTCTGAATTAAATCTCCACATTATTGCTGTCTATATAATGTAACCAGATGGTTAAGCTTTTGTTTTCTTTTTTTAAAGTATTAAAAGCCTGTGTTAACATCAGTGGGTTTCTTGGTTTGTTGGGGGGGGGGGTATTTTGAAAGATCATTCTGTTTCAAATTAGACGTAAAACACTTCTGAAGCAAGAGTTTTCATTTTTTCTTACCCATCCAGCATCTTAACAGCAAATTTTAGTTTCTCCTTTGTTAAGTTTGCAGCAACTTTCAGTTGTATTTCTAGACTCATGGTGGATTGTTCAAGCCCAGCTAAAAGAAAGCTGGGCCTCCTAATTTGAATCACTGGATCTTTGGTGTAGATAGTAAACCTAAACTCTTTTCTGATCATAATACAAGGCATTAATTACTGGAAACAGTTTGGTCGTCATAATTTCACAGACATATTGTTCATTTAGAAACTAGTTTAAATTAGCTTTAGAAAAGAGAGCTAAACTAGAACTCATTTTTCTTAAACAGAGATTTCAAATCCTGGTCTCTATTACATAGTTTTTGACCACTTCAATGAAAAGGATGTGACGACTTTTGTAGACTATTTATTTTTGCTGTAATCATGGGTGTGTCGGGATGTTTTCCCCTAGATATTTTTTTTGCCTTTTTTCTTTTTTCCATCACTGTCTTCGATGTAGAATGTGGGGGAGGGAAAAGTTGATGTCTCTTTTTTTCATTACGAGAGTGTCTATGACAGCAGTTTCTTGCCCGTGACTTGAATATGAATAATTATTTCTCTTTTGTTTTAGGAATGGAGTTAACTTTTAATTATAACCTGGATTGCCTGGGCAACGGCAGGACGGAGTGCCACTGTGGGGCAGAGAACTGCAGTGGTTTTCTTGGAGTGCGGCCCAAGGTCAGTGTGCAGGGGCGTGCCCTGAGCCAGGAGTATGGAGGGGCTACTGCAGAAGTTTGCTTATGACCATCTCAGGAAAATACTGGCAAATGGGTACCTGGTTTCGTTCACTGATCTTCAGTGGTGTTTACCCAGAGTTTAGACTCTGACTTTCCAATGAAGCATATCTTCGATCTGTTAGTTTCTGAAAATGTATTTGTATTTCTGATAGAATTTGAGGTTAGCAAAATCCTTTTAGAAAACTTTTTTGAATTCACAATATACTAAAACCCACTTAATTATCTATAATAATAAAAACGTAATATGCTAATTAGACCGGACAGCTGAACGACCTTCCAGACATCATTCCAGACGTCCTTCCAGACAAAGCTGCCACGGCGGGGCCTGAGGCAGAGGTGGTTAGGAGCGATCAGGCAGGTAGGCAGGCGAGCAGTTAGGAGCCAGCGGTCCTGAATTGCAAGAGGGATGTCCGATTGCCCACAGGGATCAGCCTAAACCAGCAGTCGGACATCCCCCAAGGGGTCCCAGATTGCGAAAGGGTGCAGGCTGAGCTGAGAGCTGCCCCCCGCCTCCCTGCACAAATTTTGTGCACTGGGCCTCTAGTATACTATAAAATGGTGACTTTTGTCCAGGTAGCTCAGTTAGAGTGTAGTCACAACATGCCAAAGTTGTGGGTTTGATCCTCAGTCAGGGCACATACAAGAATCAACCAATGAATGCATAATGAATGGAACAACAAATCTATGTTTCTCTCTCTCCTTTCCCCCCCCCCTCTCTCCCCAAAAGAAATTTTTTAAAAAAGATAATTTTATAAAATGATGACTTTAATGGTATGTGAATTATATCTCAGTGTCCTTGTAATTTTTTAAAAATATTTTTTATTGATTTTAGAGAGAGAGGAAGGGAGAAGGAGAAAGCGATAGAAACATTGATCAGCTGCCTCCTACATGCCCTCCACTGGGGTTTGAGCCATAACCTGGGCATGTGCCCTGACCGGGAATTGATCTGGCCACCTTTTGGAGCATGGGACAAAGCCCCACCTACTGAGCCACACCAGCTTATTTTAGTATTTTATGGGATGAGTCCTGGTGTTTTTAGTTAATTAAACAACAGATTAAATTAAATGAATGTGTTGTAGGATTTTCCCTTCTCGGTGAAGCTTCATGCAGTACGATCATTAAAACTGTGATCCTTTTTTCCTGCCAGTCAACATGTGTGGCAACAACTGAAGAAAGGGCAAGAAATGCTAAGTTAAAGCAGAAGAGACGAAAAATCAAAACAGAATCAAAGCAGATGCATGAAGATTACTGTTTTCAATGTGGAGATGGTGGAGAGCTGGTCATGTGTGATAAAAAGGACTGTCCCAAAGCATACCACCTCCTATGCCTTAACCTGACTCAGCCACCGTATGGTAAGCGAGATCTTTAAGACCTATTCTCAGACTTGCATTTTTGCCAACTATGTGTAACTCAGAATATATTCCACTGTCCTTAGTGGAGCCATGGAATAAGAATCATTGACTAGGACAAACCATAGCAAACAAAAATTATGCTAGTGAAAATCTGTTTGTAAATTTGGGATACATATGAGCCAGCAAGGATTGGTTTCTCCTTTCTATTACCACTAGAGACCTGGTGCGTGAATTCGTGCACAGGTGAGGTCCCTTGGTCTGGCTGGCAATTAGGGCCGATCAGGGCTGGCCAGCCAGGGGTAGGGACCGTGGGAGGTTGACCAGCAGCAGGAGATTGGCTGTGGGAGTGCACTGACCACCAGGGGGCAGCTCCTGCATTGAGCATCTGTCCCCTGGTGGTCAGTACATGTCATAGCTACCGGCCGGTCATCCCATCCTAACAGTCGCTTAGGCTTTTATATATATAGATAGATAGGTGAGTACTGTGGGCAGGATCTCACATCTGTACCTAATGGTTCATCCAGCCAGACCAATGTTTGGCTGAAATTTGGAGTTGTATTCAATTGACCAGTCTCCAGAGAAAGTGGGAACCTGGGTTTTTTGTGGATAATCAAGACAGGCACTAACTTGGGCTCTTCTCCTCCTGCCCACCCCGTTAGGAAAGTGGGAGTGCCCGTGGCATCAGTGCGATGAGTGCAGCAGTGCAGCTGTTTCCTTCTGTGAGTTCTGTCCACGTTCCTTCTGTAAAGATCACGGGAAGGGGGCTCTGGTCCCCTCTGCACTGGAAGGCCTTCTCTGCTGCTCCGAACATGACCCCGGGGCTCCTGTGCCACCAGAATACTGGAGCAAGATCAAATGTAAATTGGAATCACAAGATCATGGAGAAGAAGCAAAAGAATGAATGGGTGGTGGTTTCCTTTTTTCCTTTCTCTTTGAACAAAAAGGAAAAGCAGAACGTAAATAGATGGTGTGTTAGTAAAAGGAGAGACTGCTGCAGTGTGCACAGCCTTTGCCGTCAGTACTGCCTTATTAAGAGACTGGGAGCCTGGTCCTGAGGCAGAAGCAGTTGGTGATATCTGGGTTTTGTTTGATTTTGTTGTTTTGGTGATTCTTGAGTGGAGGGTTCGATTCCCTTGGTCCTTGCTTGCCTTTTATTGTGCTTCAAGGCCTTGCAGTTGGAAAAAGATATGTCTTTGCTTTTAAAATAAGAACAAAGAGAAAAGAAAGTTTTGTTAATGAAATAAGTGTAAAGTCCTTGGATGTAAAAAGCAAAAGTCACCATCATTCCTTTATTTATTTTCATTTTTTAAAATGTTGAGAAGTGTAGTTCAGATAGTCTAATCAGTGTATGTGTGAGTTTGTTAAGTAGGAATTGGAGAAAGCCCTCTAGCAAAGGATATGATGATCTTTATATACCTCTTTACTGTGTAGTAGGTAGGCTCACTTCTCTTTCCTTTCAAATGTCTTTCATAGCCTTGGAGAAGGATTCTATGGAAGCATCGAATCTGGCCTCTTGAAAACAAAATGCTCCCGTGGATTTTACCTCTGTGGTCTTAAACTAGGTGGGCTTTGTGATACGATAACTTTACCTAGAAAGTTATATAGTGTGGTTTTGGTTTTGGTTTGGAGAAAAAAAGAAATGGATGGGCTTACTGAGTTTGAAGTGTTCTCCATTGATAGTGGGTATTCTTGATGAAGTGCATTTATGTAGATATGAATGCAGTATTAGAGTGGTCATTCCTATTTCTTTTTTATACATATTTTTATTGATTTCAGAGAGGAAGGGAGAGGGAGAGAGAGATAGAAACATCAGTAATAGGGGAGAATCATTGATCAGCTGCCTCCTGCACGTCCCCTACTGGGGATCGAGCTCACAACCCAGGCATGTGCCCTGGCAGGGAATCGAACCATGACCTCCTGGTTCATAGGTTAACGTTCAACCACTGAGCACACTGGCCAGGCTCATTCCTATTTCTTGACAGATAAAGGCAGCTAGAGGGAGGAGACAAAAGGCATAGACCAAAAAAGTTGGATGATATAAGCACCATTTGCTGTCACACCCTGGTTGACTTGGAAAGAATTAAGGGTATTTTATTTTGTCTCTGCTTCCCTCTCCTAATCAAACATTCCCTTTATCAACTGACTCCTCAAGTTTCCTGGTGAAACTACACAGATGAATTTGAATTGTTTTTGAATAGCTCTTTTTGGTTTAGTTCCTATTGGGGTGGGGGGTGGGGGGACAGGCACATCTCAAAGTTATATGTCAACAATTTCTATTATCTGGTACTTAACATTGTCCCTGTAGAAGAAGGGAGGGGAAGCCCTTCTACAGGGTGTATAGTAGCCACACAAATGCACTTCATCTTAGGAACCACTTAGGAAAAGCTCCCAAGGAAGCAGTGTTAGCCAAAATGATTGGCTGTGGTGCTTGCATCTCATAGATGCAAGTGTACAAAGATGTCTGCCCACAAAACTCACTTACTTTTAACCCCTAGGAATATGTATATTCCAGTATTCCTTGTATGAAATAATTAGTAATGTCAGACATTGTTGTAACACTGTACTAAGTAGAAGTCTAGAATTAGCTTGAATGAAAGTTAACTTTCTCTGTGAATTTTGACTGCTTACATAAATTGCTGGTACCTGATAACATTTATTTTCCCTCAAGAAGTACCTAGTAACCTTATGAAGGTAGGGAGGGTAGATGCTCTACCACACTCCTTCAGTTGTGTTATATGTGTTTCTTTTTCTTATCAATTTAGAGCTCTTCTCTGGAAAAAAGAAGAAAAGCTGTTTTGTGCCTCTCTTTTTTTTTGTATGTAAATGTGCAATTATACTGGATTTTGTCTTGTGGGGGGGAAAAAACAAAACAGAAAAAACAACACTACATTTCCTTTACTTAAGCTCCTAAACTGCCACTTGCCTGATTCTGGCAATTAATTTTGAGGTAACTTATTAGGCCTCCAATAGTTCTGTTGATTAGATATGGTCCCAAAAGAAAGAGCAAAATGGAAAATGCTATACATGTTAGCAACTGTAATTGCTGCAAGTAACATGGATTACATCTCGCCAAAACACTAACCTTTGCTCTTGAACAATTATATAGCTTGATGTCCTTTTAAAAAATAATTTAAGAAAATCTAGGTTTTATCATACTAAAACTTTATTTTATATATATATATATGATAAATGTTTGCTTTTCTAAACTTACTAACATGAAGGATTTCCTTTCATATTCAAAATGTAACTCTTGTTAAAACAATATCCAACATGAAATCTTATCTCCTTAGTGCTATTTGATATCTGATGACTTTTATATGGTAAGCCAGGGTCTAGTCTATAAACACAAATACATTAGGTTTAAGTATTTTTATGCAGTTCTTCATTGTGTCACATTTTGTGTATCTATAATAGAGCTCTGCTGAGCCTTCTTAATTTGGGGGGCGGGGTGACTGATAGGATTGTTCTGACATTTCAGAAATCAGGGTAGAAAACAAAATAGCTAACCCTAGCTCTGGGTCTGTGCATGAGTGTTCTTTCATGGTCTAAAAAGTGGTTTTAGTCATGCTTGTGCCAAGGAGCTCTTCTTACACCTCCGTCGTGTTACTGTTGACTATTGAATACATGTGAAGTTGCAGGTTCTGGAAGCAGAAAAAGAGTAAATTGTGCTTTAAATGTGCATAGTATACATGCACTGTGCTTGTCTGTGCTTCCCCAATGAAATAGTCCTAACACACACTGCTCACTCAGTCTGAGGTTGGTATTTGTTAACTTTTAACTGTATGTGGTCAGAGCATACGTGGTTGGTTTTTATTATTGTCCAAAATGAAATAACTTAAAGCAGCTTGGGATAATGGTATTTTTTTTAACCTCATGTTAATTCTTGGGAGGAAGAAGTGAAAATAAGGTTTTATATAATCATCATAAAGCATCAGAAATTGGATCAGTAACAACTAAAGATGAAATCCTGATAAAAATTCCAGACGCTGTGCAGGGAGAGAGGGGCTGGGCCGTGGCCGGCATGAGGAAGCAGGAGCGGCCGTAGTAGCTGAGAAGGCTGAAGCAGCCCGAGGACACAGTCACTTCCTCGTGTTTAATCAGGGCTAGAGTTAGGGGCGAGGCAGGGTTTACTTTCCTGTTTGTTTTAACAAGCTCCCATTCTATCTTAATTCTCACAAATAATCTGGCCTAAGTTATAGAATAGGCTTACTTTTAGAATCATCGAAACTTGTATGTTCAAGGCAGGAACATACCTCAAAACTAAAATAATAATAATAATAATAATGGGGGCAGGTAAGACTGCTCCAGTTCCCTTCTGCCATTCCCAAGTATTTGTAAATAATGTTGTGCAATTCTGAGGTAATCATGTAAAGGACTCTGAGACAGAGCAGGTTGTTGGGCAACTCTTTCCTGGTTCATGAAGTAGGGCCTCCTTTTGGAGTTGTCTGTTGCATGGTATGTGTTCCAATCAGGGTCCAACCAGATCTGCAGTTTGGAAACGGATACATAGGCCAGCTGTACAGAATGTAATCTCTGGACTACCCAGCATTTATTGCTTGTCTTTTGTTTCATTTTTAAACACAAAGCTTCCTTTAACGTTCACCCTAAAGTCAAAGTGCTGCCACGTGCTGTGTCCCAGCAGGATAAGAAAACAGTCACGCTTGGGAAGCTACGTGTGACGTGCTTGTCTGTGAGGTACGATGATCCTGGGAAGCGGCTCCATGGGCAATGCAGTTAGATTTGTCATACTTCCTACAAGGCTGATGTATCTAGCCACCCCCAAGTTGTCCAAGTTGCTGAAGACACGAAATGATCATTTGGAGTGATGTCCTTTGACGTAGGGCCACATAGAACTGGTCTGTGGTTATTTGTCAACAAAGAAGAGAACTTTCTCCCATTTTCAGATTAGCGAAGGCATAGATATAATTAGACAGCTTTGTCATGTATTGACAGATATTGAAAAGTTGGAAGTTTGTATATACTGAAATCTACCAACTTTTACCTGGGGTGGGGCACAGGGAGAAAAGGGGGTGGGAGAGTAGGGTAAGGGAGGGGGACGATGATGTTTACCACAGGTGCGAAGTAGTCACTTTAACTTTGAGACCTCTGCCTCATGAATTCAGGTTTTTTAAGTACTTGAAATTCTTCAGATTCTCCTTACGTTAACAGTTATTTTAAAATTTATGAAGTAGAAAGCATTGTTTTATATACTGTTTTGAAAATAGCCTAGTCTCTTCTCCTCTTTCACTCGGATTGAAGGTGAAGTTCTGCAAGTGGGAGAGCGTGTTCACAGTAGGTTTCTCAGATCTAATGTACACATCTGAGGGAGAGACTCCTGCATGGGACGCCAGCAGCATTTTGATGAATATTTCCTATGTATGTTCTTCATCATTTTGTCATCCTAAGCACCTCTTCTTTCTTTCTAATGTATGCCTGCCTGGGAAGGGGGTGGGGGGAATTTGCACTTATGTTACACTCTTGAAATGCTGGGTGTAACCTGTGTGTTTAAAAACTATTTCCATTCTTTTTCTTGTCAGTCCATTGCTTAAGTGACCAGTTAGGTGCTGTGGCACATACGTATGAAGGCGGAGGAGAGAGAGAGTTACCTGTTTTTCGGTAGCCTCTGAAAGTCATTAACGTGTAATAAAAGGGAAAAGATGAGTAGTTGCCAAAGTCATTTATTCAGTCCTTAGTTTTCTTATGTGACGTTACTGTATCTGCATATTGGTAAGAAGCACCCTCAGGTTCAGTACTCCCTTCCCTGCCCACCAGACTTCTGATATGCGTGAATGCAGATTACCTGGATTAGGTATTGATAGGTATTCTTGTCAGTTTGTAAGTGGACTGGATAAAATTTGTTTGTATCTCTCCCTTTATTTCATTTATGCTGTCACATACCCTATGTTAAAAAAGAAAATCATTATTGCCACAGACAACCAAGTTGCTAAATGATGATTACAACTGGCTAATAATAAGATTCTTTTTATATACAAGGGTGTGTGCAAATTTGAATTGATATGAGAAATTCATTTTTACCCACTTGTGATATTGCACAAACAGATACC